GTATGGTCTGGCCATGTAAGACTATGGATGTGCAGGTCTGTGTCTGTTTGACCTTGGGCGGGCTGAACCACAACACAGCACAGAAGACAGTGCTGCTTCGGCTGCATTCACTTAAAATCTGGCAACACGCACCTTCTGCAGGGTTGTGTGGAGGTGTGGCTGTGTTTATATGTGCTTTTAAGAAGAAGAAGAATAATTAGAAAATTACATTTCATTTCTCTGATTCACTGCTTTGTTCTCTGCACTCTCTCTCCACTCACTTGACACTCATGGACCCTCGCAGACACGCGTACACAGAAAGAAACAATAAGCCTTGTCTGCTGTTTGGTTCTGAGCAGTAAGCGGACAGTGTGTTTATCAGAGCTTTTGCAGCTGGAAAGGAGTTGAGAGTGGTGAGAATGAAAGTGTGTGCGCTACCTGATCTAGTTCGTAGAACTCTTTCCTCTCTTCCTGCGTACAGCTGCGTCCAATAGGGGACACGTTCAACATGCCGTTACGGAATTCAATGAATGTCCCCCTGTAAAACATGACAGTCTCCATAAGGCTAATACACATCACTACTATCTGTTATTATTCTAGACTTTCAAATGTTACGCATTTTACAGCTTCCTTGCACTGCTCCATGCCCATTACATCACAAGTGTTAGCCCAAAAACAAACAAATGTTGATAATGAGACTCTATTATGTCTGGACCTTTTCTTAGGCAGTTTGATCTTGGCCATGTAGTTGAGACAGAAGTTGATGAAATCTTGTAGTAGCTCTTCTCCCATGTGGGCCTGGATGGACTGACAACAGCAAGCAGACAAAGTCAACTTCCTGGGTCCTGTCACATGAGGTGACGGCTTCATATTCAAGGTATGTTTGTTTTGGTTTTTCCCACAAACCAATATTATGATGTCAAATCATGTTAATGTGTCAAATGAAGACTTTGATAGGCAGGCTTAAAGCATTTGCGTAAAAAAGGACATCAAGTACCTTACCTGGACAGAGAGGAGCTGTCCATTCTTATAGGCTACAAGACCGTTCTCAGCAAACACATAGTCCACTTTCTGGATCACTGCACACATAAACAGAGTCAGACTAATGACACACTTGAGATATAATTGGTCTACTACTGATGTGTGTGTCTCACCATCATCTCCCAGCTGCTCTTTGATCTTGCAGAGGTCTGACCCTCCTACCACTCCGACTCGAACCTGAGTCTTCAGCTTCTCGAGGAACTCTGCCATGTCTGGAGTCACGCGCTGAAAACACACACAGAAATACAGGTTACATTTACTGACGTAATGGGAGAAACAACAGCAAGGACAGCAACAGGACATACAGTATTTCATATGTCAGGATTCATGTCAAATGTTATGTATACCAACTGGAAAAGCCTGTCCTTTAGTCTTTTGTTTTACTAAGATTGCCTGTCATTAGTCGAAGTATCACTTGTTTTACTGGTCTTTCAGGTATTTTGTTATGCAGGGATCCAACATTAGGTTACCTGTTTTGTCTGATGTATGAGCAGACCGACTAACCTCGCTCACGATGCAATGTCCCTTTCTTTTTTCAGTCAGTCAAACTATAAAACTTATAGTAAGAAACTATAAAAGTACGATAAATATGCCCAAAGTGATTATTGGGTCTATATCTTAATGAATAAGCAAATACTGTATGCCTAGAAACTATATAATACGTTACAGTACAATGTTAGTAATAACACACATATTCTATAATATACAGTTATTGCAGCTGCTGTTTTAATAGTTATGAGTAATTAGTTCATTTTAATCTGTGCAAACCACAGTTGTTTCGTTTTTCATTGTTGTTTTCAGTTCAGTTTGTTTCCAGTGAGTTTGCTCGTTTTGTATCATTACCTGACAAAAACTAAAACTAAAGACATTTCCTGGATATTTTTAGTTTAGTTTAGTTTTTATTCACATAACAGGCAAAACAAAACTTAAAGAGACATCTGTTTTGCCGATTGTAGTTAACTGTTCGCAAAATGTCAACGGAACCAAACGGAAACAGTAGCATCAGGGGCGTTTGTTTTAGTGACCAAGAAAGGTGTGTTTTGAACGTCCAGAGGGTAACAGGGCCTCTATTTACCATAGGTTTACAGAATGTATAGTACATTTGAATATTTATGATAAACAAACCAAAAACTTGTTAGCAACTAACGTAAGCATACTTTAACCGTTCAGCAGGGCACTTCCTGTTTAGGTGTGAAGGGTGACCAAAGTCAAATTTGTATGTAGTTAACACTTTTATTTGTTTATTAACGTTACTAATATACCAGTGAGTGCTCTATAGCTGCTAGCAGTCCCACTACGTCTCGGCAAATGCTTTAGGGTGGAACCATTTTTCAAAGCAAAAGTTTCTGCGGGATACAATACTGCGCGGAAGAACTACAACAACGACGTGGAGCCGGATGTTGCACTGTCATAACGTACTGTCAGACGTTTTTCTGAATGGAGCCAGGTGTAACCGGGGGTAACGTTAGTTTTACACACCTGTCTCGCGGCCGTGAGCGTGCCGTCAACGTCGAAGAGGCAGAGCGTGCTCGTGTCCACAGCGGCGTCACTCATCTTGTTTGTCAGTCTGATCCCAGTTCAGTTCGGGCTGTTCACAGAGTCCATGTACTCCCAATATACAGCGACAGTGTGTATGCTCAGTGTTTGTCGCTTTGCTCCCACTGTTCTTCCGTCGTTCTCTTCACAGTACAATCCAGCTGCAGAACTGCTGGGGTTGTGGACGACAACTACTACCAGAGAAACCAGCTTCTTCTTCTTCTTTAGTGTTTACTTACGGAGGCAAAAGTAAGGTGCATGCCGCCACCTGCTGCACCGGAGGATGTAGAGCAAACATGAAAATAAGGCCTCTTCTTGACAGCTCAGCCTGCAGGCCGGGGTTAGTTAAGGATACAGTGAATTCTGGGTGCAACATACAAAGGCCCCGTGTTAAAAACAGAAAAACAATGCAGCCAAAGTGCCCTCCTGGATGCCTCTAATGTAGATAAAACATGATAAATGACCCTCTATGATAACCCAATCTGCAAAAAATCCTCTAGGGCAGTGGTTCTCAGTCTGGGCTCCAAGGACCCCCAGGAGTCCTTGAGGGGGTTCCAGGGTGTCCCCCAGAAAATAGGGAATATTTTAATTTCACTATTAACCCTATTTTATTTACTAAAAGTTAATGACAGAATGTATCAATATGACTATTGCGTACAGGTTTCACACTCTTAATATGCACATTTACTGTATAGACAGTTATGGAATAACTCAATCTTTACCACAGGGGGAGCTTGAGCCTGAAATCTGATCTGGCCAAGCCAAGTGCCACCCCATTATCTTTACCTCTGCCACTTCACACTGTCTTTCAGAGTCTGTAGTGGGCCTCCTTTTAAAGCTGAAGAGTGAAGATACTGGTATCATATGAAACGTATGCATCCATCCACTTATGGTACCAACAATGTCATGCTGGCATGCCAGGAAGGGTGCAAAATAATGCTCCAAAGTTAGGCTGGCATGGTCATTTTCAAAGGGATCCCTTGACCTCTAACCTCAAGATATCTGAATAAAAATGCGTTCCATGGGTACCCATGAGTCTCCTCCTTTGCACACAGGCCAACTTCATGCTAATCCCATGCAGCTTTGGGCAAAAACCATGCAGTTTTCTCAGCACACAGTTTGCAGTGCAAAGTGTTATTTTTGCCTCATGTACTTGAAGAGTTCTGCATTCTGTGGTCATTACACAGTGAATTGCAGAAATTGGGAATGACTAGAAAGCTTGCACTCTTGCGGTACCATCCAGTCAAAAAGGTCTGGACACGGCCCTGATAGGGATGCGTATTAATTTTGGGCTCCTTGACAACAAAAAGATTGAGAAGTCTTTCTCCAGGGTGCCTTTGATGCTGGAAAATTAGTTGGGCCTCCATGTGCTTCTAGTGGTTAAACAGATGATAGTTCCTTGTGTGTTTTTATGACAGAGGTGTGTTTGTACTTAAAATTTGAGTCATATGATAAAACAACTTTAATCTTAACCAGGGTTTGGAGCCGTTTCACCATAAATGCACCACTAGTTTCTGTGGTGGGTGCCCTTCGTATTGTTTTCACCCACGCACAGAAACATAAGATTGCTGTGCAAAGGCAGTGTTGGCAAGCTTTAAGGCAGTTGGAAACTGAATATAATTATAAATGTCACAACATAATGGTCAGAGTCAGAAGGCCACACTGGATATACCTCCTTGGTTGACAGCTCATCTCACTGACCTCAACTTAAAGCTACAAGGAAAGAACAACTCAGCATGTGATTTGATGTTTATAGAGGAAAGTATGTTTTTAAGGTGCATCTCCAAGATGCTCAGTGTCCAGCTGTGAAACAACAAATATGGTTGGAGGTTTTCTCTCATGTGGAGCTCATACAGACCCTGTAGAAATAGGATTAAAAGTGTGGCATTAAGACCTTTACAGTACATTTTAAGAACTAAATAAAGTTCAAGAATGGCTGTTGCGCATTTGTACTGATTCAGCTCATCACAAGGTTTAAGATGCAAGAGAAATGTTGGAGGCAAATGATGATACAGAAGGTAAGACATGCTTTTTTCATCCATAATTGTTGAGCTAAACATTTACTTCACTTTAGTTTTAGTTTTAACTTGGATTAGACCTGAAGGTTTTGTTGTTTTAACAGAAAAATAAAACATAATAACATCTAATTGACCTAGTACAATCAGCACAATCTTTTTGCATTCAACAATGCTTGTCTAGGCAAAGCTACATTATATTTCTGTGACCAATACCACAAAATTCCTTTCTGACTTCCATTTGGACATGATGGTTGCATTGGACAGACCAGTGCACTTGGTCTATTTTCAATTGTAGTAATTTGAATTGAAATTGACATTGTTCTACATTTGCCTTAGTTATTTTCAAAAATGTAAAAATGTGTTTTGAAAGTCATTTTAACAGAATATGTTTGCATTCATATTAATGTGTTTGCTGTCTGTGGTGTATTTTTTAGTAGTTTAGTAGTTTTTAATATCTGCAAGCACCACTGCGGTGATTAAAGAGAATATTATATATACCGCCATGTTATCAAAATAAGCCCATTAGGTGTACTGCTTAGAAATACATCATACATTCTCTAAATCATATACATCCCTCCTCAGTGGTACACTTTAACATGATGCATGACATGACTGGGCTTCTTTTACTGCTGATCCAGCATGCACCCCTCTGTTTGTGGTGCTGCAATCACAGTGACTTCTCACAATTTAGATGGAAGTATGTACAATTATAAACTAAAGATGTATTTTGAAGGCTAAAGCTAAATCCGGAAGTCTTTTTCTCATTTTCTGCTCAGTTCCATTTAAAAAGTGAATGAGCAGTTTTATTTTTGACTTGACCTAATAAGGAAAGTTTGAGTTGTCTCTTTCTAATGCACAAAACGAAACAGACAGCGTCCTACATGCTCAGTCACATCTAGAAAACAAACGGTTTAAACGTACGCATAGCCTAGACACACCACACGTCAACAGATGAACATATTTTGATTCAGAGCAAACAAAGGACCTTTCGCGCCGTATGTTTAAAAGCCCAACTCAACCAATCAGCGCGTTGGCAATGCAAAGAAACATGCTGTCTTGATGGCACATACTCCGACCAATCACAGCACCGTATATTTCTTGTGCCCTAAATTCAAATTGAAATGCTTAAATCTGACCAATCCGTGGGTGGCGGGGAGGAGTTGTGAAAGTCCTTCTAGTTAAGTTAGATCGGCCTCGCAGGCAGTGACAAAACAGTTGCGCTTTCTTCCTCATTCAGTCGTTTACAAGTTGTCTTGCTGAGAACAGGTAAGGTTTCACCGTTTTTGCATTTGTATTTAGCTAATTTTATTGTTTAAAGTCACCAGTATTTTCTGTGGTAGCTTGGTGCATTGATTAAGGTGATAAAATGTAATACTTGTGCATATTTACCAATTTAAGCATATTATAAAATAAGTCGTTTATATGTTCTTATAAATCACAACGTTGTTTATCATTTGCCTCGAAAAAGCCGTTGGATTGTATGCTGATTCCAAACGGTGGCGTGTTTAGCCTGTTTCTATAACCTTACTGTGTCACTAGCCCTGTAATCTATTGCTGTGTGCGCAACATGCAGTTCAAACGCCATTTGGTTTGGTGAGTTAGCTTAGCTTTCCACACGACGGGGACGTTAGCATCCACGGTTTAAGTTCGAACCAAGTCGCCATTCGGTCCACACTCACCGGGGTTAGTTGCGTTACGGTTAAAGGCAGGTTAGCAGTCAGTATGGAAATAACACAATGGCTATTAGTGTACTTATATTGGTAATCTTTTGGCGCAGTTTAGTTTAGGCGGGAAGATACAAAATGGTGGCAAGTCTTTTTGTCCCAGTGAAGCAGAAATCCGATTAGAGCCTTAAAACACCCCTGGGCGTCTGCTCGTCCGGTTTATGCCACAATAACATTATTTACAACACTAGAACTATGGCAAATACAAATATAATATTTGCTGGAGTCCATATTCGTTACGTTGAACTAATAATTTAAACATATTAACGTTATTGTACGCGTTTTGGATAATTCATGGTAAATTGCAAATATTACATTATACTGCCTGCACAGGCTTTGGTAACTTATCACATTAAACACGAGTAATTCTAATGTTTGTTTTGCAACCGTTTTTAGATCAAACGCAACCATGAGAAAGGATCCAAATAAGCCGAGGGGAAAGATGACCTCCTATGCTTACTTTGTGGCGACCTGCCGCGAAGAGCACAAAAAGAAACACCCAGGGACCACTGTAGGCTTCTCAGAGTTTTCCAAGAAATGCTCTGAGAGATGGAAGGTAAGTTAGAACCAATTTAGTTTTATAAATGCAATAATTGACAAATAACAACATGAATTGTAATTTGGGATGGGGCACTATATTTTCCACATTACCAATTCAAAACAATGAAATTGTACTTGCCCTTAGCAGAAGTAAGAGGATTTGGGTCAGGCAACAATGCCCTTGCATGACCTTGCAGGACCTTTTGCCCTCCATAGTTGGGTAGAAAGGGCAAATAGTAGAAAATTAGCACAAGGCAAATGCTGATTAAAACACACAAGTGGCAGGTAGATTTAAGCCACAAAGTGACTATTGAGTGGCTGGTTGAAATGTATTAATTTCCCCCCTGGAAAGGGTACAGAGTATTTTGTTAACATATGGTACACAGCAAATGGATAGGTATCCTTACATAAGGATGTTTGTAGATATTTTTGGTATTTAGGTGTTCATGGTTTCTGTTTCATAGACTATGTCAGCCAAGGAGAAGGTCAAGTTCGAGGACATGGCCAAGAACGACAAGGTCCGGTATGACCAGGAGATGAAATCATACGTGCCTCCCAAAGGTACCAAGGTTGTAGGCAAGAAGAAGAAGGACCCCAATGCACCCAAGAGGCCACCGTAAGTCTAAACTTACCAGATAGATATATATATTTTTTTTTAATTTTTATGCTTATTACCTCTGGTCCTTTCTGGTACTAACCCGTCCCCCTTTTCTTTCTCCAGTTCTGCATTCTTTGTGTTCTGCTCTGACCACCGTCCCAGGATCAAGGAGGAGAACCCTGGTATCTCCATTGGTGACATTGCTAAGAAGCTGGGCGAGTTTTGGGCTACACAGACTCCCAAAGACAAGGCTCCCTATGTGGCCAAGGCTGCCAAACTGAAGGAAAAATATGAGAAGGTATACCTGTCGCCTCTTATTTTTGCCAGCTAAAGTGACTTGGCTCTTAGGGGATATTAAGTATGTGACA